GTGCTCCCTAGCTTGGACGCAGGCATATTTGTAGTTGGCTTGAGGTCGGCCAATCACAGACAACATGCCACTAGATACGAGTTCAGAGGCCTTCTGCATTGCCTCTGCCCTCACCTTTACTGCAAACAAAGCTGTGAGCAGAAAACAGGACCATTATAATAAATTAATGTGGGTGAATCTTCAATATGAAAAAAATATGGAAAAAATTTTGCATACAAAAAAGACGACTACTTTTAGGTATGCTAAGATTTTGTGGAATTATATTTATTACAACGCTTCTTACTGTATTGCAAAAAAAACAAAAAACAATCTTATTACTATGATGATAAAAATATGTATGATGATGTACTCATACGTCATGATGGTACTTATGATACCGCCTTTAATTTTTGCTGATTTATAAGCTATAATAATGAATAAAAATAATCGTTTTTTGTAATGAAAATTATGTTTGTGAATAATGGGAATAATAATTAAAATAATGAGAATAATATACATATGTGTGTGTGTGTGTGTGTGTATATATATATATATATATATATAATTTTGGTTAAGGTTTTAGCCATTTTGTTATGTTGATTCTTTTTTAATTCTCCTTAACTTTAATTTAATGAATATGTGTCTTAGTTTTAGCAATTTTAGTATTCCAACTTATTTTATTCCAGTTAGTTGCCAATAACACTAAAATATCTTGACTAATTATGAGAACATGGGGGTAAAATTTGCTTAATTGTCATAATAATACAAATAAATAGGTATTTTTTACTTCATGCAAAATACATTTGATAAAATATACAATAAAAAAAACGACATTAAAAATACTTTATGGACATATATTATTTCTTTTGATTTTGGGGACAAATGTAATCGGGATATGTTTCACACTTGTAAAAATGCAATTCAAATAGCTAATTTTGTATGTTTAATAAGCTTTACCTTCAGCAAAGTTCATCGCGCCAGAGAAGACCAAAGCAGAAAATTCCCCAACACTGAAACCTGCTGCACTCACACAGCTCTCAATAGCCTATAGATGGGGGTCAATGAGTTTGACATTAATATTGACCAGGGCAATATTAATCATACATGCATGACACTGCAAATTCTAATAGATTAGCTGTCGACTGATCTTGTGGATAACTTACAGCAGGATTTTCATGGTTCAGTCTTTCCACGGCAGCCAGTGAGCAGACAAACACAGCTGGCTGGCAATGAACAGTCTTCATCAGATCTTTCTCGGGTCCACTTAGGCACAGAGACAGCAGGTCATAGCCAAGCACCTTCTCAGCTACAGCAAACATCTCTTTGACATTTCCATACTTCAAGAGTCCTTTTCCCATACCGACAAACTGACTGCCCTGGCCAGGGAACAGAAGGACAGCCGCTTTCCCCGGAGCTCTGCGTGTTCTCCTGGGCTTCTCCTCAGGGCTGGGCTGACTGTCATCAGAGGAGATGGGAACATCTGACAGTCTTCTGCAATGGTAGACAGCCGCCTTATTCCGAAACAAACGAACTCTACTACAACACTTGCGAGTCACGCTGAGATTCATGATAAAAACGTTTTTGCTGAAATGAAATTCAACACATTTTTTCAGAATACCCTCGCAAACGGAGGTCAAATGCAAACCACTCTGGTTTTGAAGCCTTACAGAAAGACAGCGCGCACTTGTGTCACACGAACTGTTGAGTATTCCTGTTATATCATGCTTATTTATTAAATTAAATCAACGTTTAGAAAGTAAAAATCCTTATTAAAACGTAAGTAACGCTATCGTGTTTCCCACATGCCATGTGTGTATTTTTCTTCTTTGTATATCAGATGCAGTTTGGAGAACTACAAGAGCACAGCGCCATCTATTGTAGTGGAGGTCAAATTCTACGTTTATATTTTTCTAAATACCATTTAACATTCAATGTTAAAAAAATATATGGAAATATTTTCAAAAGTGAGGTCGTTGCTAGTTGTCACATGCAAATGTTTTTGTTTTAATGTTATACTTTTATAAACCTGATTACATTATCCGTTTGACAAAATAATGCTTTGATAATACATTGACCGGTTACATTTTAGATTTATGCAGTTTTGTGAATTTCAGGATTTATTGTTTAAATTTGATTGAAAAGTCTTTAAATAGTCTAAAATAAAATATTTAAAGTGACAACATGCTTACTGGTCAACTTGTCAAACTAAATTGTCAAATTATATTTCTAGCCAATAATGTTAAATGTTCTGTCTGTCTATCTAGCCATCTCTGAAATTAAATTGCCATGGCAACGTGCACAGCCTGGTTAGACATTCCCGCCTTACATTTACAACGGTGGCTGTCTCCGTTAGCAATAACACTGCGTGTAGGCTCTGTATTTTATTTTATTCTTTTTGACTAGCTCTGTATTCATTTAATTGTTTTATTCAGTTGCATACAGTTAGAATATATATTTATATATTTATATGTAAAAATCTTTCTCGCGACATTGGAAAGTGATGATGGTTATCTATGTGCAAAAAACTGTCATGGTACTGTAGCCTTGAATCCATTGGTTGTTGGTTGGTTGGTTTGTTAAAGGGGCATCACCACATAGGAAAGTCCATTCGATGTTAGGTTTTAGTAACGTCGGAATGCTGGCACTGCTGAAAGACACGGCAGTAAATCAGACCTGCAGGAAGACAGAAAATAAAAAAAAGAGTTGAATAAATGCAATTATTTTTTAGATCTAAACAGAACCCATTTTTCAACGGTTTCTAGAACCTAAATCTTAAAAGCAGGTTGGTTGGGGATTGTGATGAGCTGTCAATCATTTCTGCTTAGCCAAACATAACTGAGATCCTACCTGGCTCAGAGCAAAAGAACAGCTGTATTTTAGAGCAGCTGGCAGGTGGACTTTTTGCGTGTCTTTCCAGGTACTGGAGTTTTCCTGTTGATTTGCCGGACCAGGTCATAGAAGATCTGCATAGACACACACACACACACACACACACACACAAAAGCATTTCTCAGTGAATACATACATATGCCATCAGACTAGATGTGTTTGTCAGACATTGTGTTAGCTTTTACACAATGACCAGAGATAAGCTATTGTAGCAGACAGAAACAAAACTGCATGTTTGCTACTGACATTAAACAACATTAGTAATATAGCAGGATTTGTAATAAGATCTCTGCTACCATGTGTTGTGTAGAGAGGCAGATTTAGGATGTGAGTTGAGAAGGATAAGCTCATAATCCATTCTCTGCTATACATAACAACAGATGATCTCAGTAACGCCAGATAAACAAATTCAGAAGTACAGGATGCACCTTACTAAAAGGTTTTGACAATCAGCACAGCAAACTGCAGACTAACAGAGCAAATGGACTTGCCTAAACCCCTTCGAGTCAATAAATTGCTTTTTTCTTTCATTCATTGAATGGAAAGCTGATAAACAAAAAGATACAGATGCAATTCAATGTCAGAGAGAGAGAGAGCCCTGCCATCACCAAATTTCCTTTCTAATCCTGTAATTTCCGGTCTAATTGGATTTTGGCATGGTTTTGTCCATAAAAACTCAACTTTTATACAATTAACTCAAAAATATATATATTTTTTTGTTGAAAATGTATTTTGATCCACCAGTGAAAGCTGTTTCAAACAAAGCAGTATCAACCGTTGTTAAACAACAACCCATCTGGAATGTGCTAAAGAAATGTCTTTTTTTTTCTTCTTATATCGGTGACTAAAAAGATAGTAATGCAAATCAGTTATTTTGAACTAAAAAAAAATACAGATGTGTCGTTTCCTACTGCTTTTAACTCTATACTGATTGTTAGTGGATTTGTAATCATTTTGAGCTTCAAAAATGAGAAAAGGCGCCTGTTGTAACTTGTGACGGAGAAGAAACATGAAAGCTTGTGAAAAGTAAATCGCTCTGGCTGCATTAACTGAAGGTGATGAATCGCTTTGACTGTGGTCACTCGCACCTGAAGTTCCTCATTATCTTATTGAGAGAGTTCCAACCGAAGATCCATTAAATCGGTATCTGGATTTCGCTTACGGGAGAGTCTGAGACTTTAATGATGATGCAGGTCTGTGCTTTGACACAAGTAAATGAATAATCCTGGAGCAACGCCCAAGCGGGATAAAAAAAAAGCTTCAAATCATCACCTTCTGCCCTCCAGTAACCTCTCATAAACTACAGGATTGACTCCAGACCAGCACAGGGGTTTCATAGAACTCTGTGTTCACTCGGTTCTCCTTACACACTACCATACCGTTATAACCATCTGGATTTTTTTAACTGACTGAACTCAAAGCAGCTCTATGTCATGTAGGCAGAGTCGTGTTGCTCACAAAAGGACGCTCTGTGTCCGAGCGTTGCAGCTGACTGCCTGCTTTGCTAATGTGTGACTACGCTTTCATGGAGAGATATCACTAGCTGACAATGACACGGTTCTGAGACCTCAGCAGAGAAGAGCAGCTCCATGGTGACGCCAACACAGGCATGTCAGAAGACAACCAAAGCCTGAGCCCAATTGAAAAGACTGGGCAAAAGATCATGCCCATACACAGCCTACTGAATGAAGCTTTACCTAAGATTAAAAACACCCTTTTAGATTCACCTCTCAATTCCCAGATTTAAATATTTCAAATAAAAACAAACAGTTTACTAAGAAAAACAGATCTGTGTGTTCAGTGATCAAGGTAACAATAAATAAATAAATAAACTAAAAAAAAAATATATATATATATACACATTTCACATTACATTATAATTATAAATTACACTTAATTTTAATTAAAAAAATTATTTTAGGAGGGAGTTATAGATTTTTTTTATACAAATATTAGTTTGTACAGAAATTATTTTATATTTTAGTATCAAAAACTGCCCCTGCTGGTAGAAGTCATACAATATAAAAAAGTATTTTTTGAAGTTTAACATTTCTGGAATTGCGATAAACCGGAAAGCAATCAAAGTAAACTCAGCTAGCAAATTTTTTGCTTGCCCAACTAGAACTGTCAAATAGAGAGAGGTGGACAAGAAGGGAAGACGAGCCTCTTCACAGCTGAAAGGTCACCCTTATTGACGATGGCGAGCATGAGGGCTCAGGGTGGGTGTGAAAAAGCAGATACTGGTACTGAAACTATCAAAGCACAGGGTGAGATGAAAGTTAAAGGCAGGGCAGCAGATACTGAGGTTGAGTTTCTGGAGATGAAATGGAGAGCTGGACAAGACTCACATCATCCGTGTCTTTGACCCGCAGAATCTGTTCTCTCAAGTCCTGCAGGTCGTTGAAGGTGGACTGTGCTGTTATGGAGTATACTAGTGCAAAGCCCTGGCCGTTCTTCATGTACAGGTCCCTCATGGCTGTGAATTGTTCCTGAGTGGGAGAGAAAGAGGAGGTGAAGTGAGGAGGAGAAGTGTTCAGATAGTGTACGGAGGAGTTGAGGTACTGACAGACAAAACTGAAAAAAAAATCTCTAAAACACTCAAAATATTCATAGTGAGTACAGAGCAGTTTTTTTAAAGTAACACTGTCCTAATATGAAATAACCTATACGATACCAACATATTGTGCTTTATATATATACTGGTTTATTGTAGTTATTCTATAACTAAATTATAACTGAAGCAATGTAAAAAAAAAAAACCAAAAACACAAATATGATGAGACTTTAAATGGTCATTTGATTTTAATAAATAATATGTTTGCAAAATAAATGTGTTCCATCTGCATTTAACCTGGAAACACCAGATGGAACTTCCATTCAAAAGTTTGAGGTCACATTTACTTTAATATTTGTATTTAGCAAAAACTCAAGAGCAACAGCAAAGACATTTATAATATTACAAAATATTTCCATTTCAAATACAGTTCTTTTGAAATTTCTATTTATCAAAAAACATTTCCCACAAAAACATTAAGCAGCACAACTGTTTTCAATATTGATAAAGATAATAAATATTAGCAGCAACAAATCAACATAATGGAATGATTTCTAAAGGATCAAGTGACACTGAAGACTGGCTGCTGAAAATTCAGCTTTGCATCACAGGAATAAATTACATATATTAAGGGTAAAAAATAATAACTAATAGACATCACCATACTTAGTTGACTGATTACATTAATAATTACAAACATTTTTGCATTACAAGTTTGCTACAATGTTATGTTTAAATGTGCAAATGATGCATTATATAATTAAATATGCACTAATTAACATTTCTAGAACAAAAATCTTAACATTGGATAAAGCCAGGTTGAAAATGATCGTTTCATTTTACAGAGATGAAATTGGATAGCTCTTTTTATCACTCTATAAATCAGAAAATACTGTCCACAGCCAGGGGGAAAATACATTTTCACAGTTTATAAGGAATAAAATGTTGTATAAAACCAGGCAAATTACGCATGAAGAAACCCCTCTGTAAAAACCTTCAGAATATGGTGTATGTCAGTATTATTGAAGCAGAGATATTTGGCTCAGTGCAGGAGAAAAAGTCTCATACAAACAGAAAAAGTGCTATGAAAGAAACACTTAAAAATGTATTTTGGATGTTTTCTTTCCACTAGTCTGAAAAAACACTTCAATTTTTGCACAAAGCCTCAAAATTAAACAGTGCATTTAAAAACAGCATTTTTGCCTGTAGTGTCTCACCTTCAAATATATATATATATATATATATTTAAAAAAAACTATTATAAAATTGCAATATTTCACATTATTAAAATTTTTTTTTTTTTTTACACTGCAGTTCTGAATGAACTACTAGGGCAGGACGGGGTACATCCTGTAGAAATGTGTCAACTGATAGGAGATTGTCATGATATACCTGCATTGCAACTGGAAAAAATCTGACATAAGCAGAAATGTATATTATAGTCAGCAAACTGTGTCACAGATGGGCATTTACAGTTCATTGATTATAGACCGCTTCATTGATTATAATGGGAGCAATTTAGTTTTCATGCAAAGTGCTGCACTATTTGGGTCTGGTGTAACTGTAGGTTGCTTAACAATTTGGAACATAAACATAGAATATATTTTGTATATATTGGTTTCTACACATTTGTGGCTGATCCAATTAAGTTTTTTGTGGGTGAAAAAGTAATTTCAGTAGGAATCCTTTTTTTTAAAGGTGGGTGAAAAAGTAAAGAAATTACTTTTTCACCCACAAAAATTTGCCGAACATTGGTAAATGTGGTCATACCTGAAGGTTTCCATTTAAACTGACACTTGAGTTAACAACAAAAGACAAAAAATGTAATTGGATCAGCCACAAATGTGTAATAACCAATATATACAAAATATATTCTATATTTATGTTCCACATTGTTAAGCAACCTACAGTTACACCAGACCCAAATAGTGCAGCGCTTTGCATGAAAACGAAATTGCTCCCATTATAATCAATGAAGCTGTCTATAATCAATGCCTTTTTTCACCCACAAAAATTGGGGGATTTCATGCGAGGGTGAAAGATTTTCTCACATAGGTTTTGCAGTTGGCTTAAGTTGTCAATGGATCGTAATAGACAATGGATCTTTTTTTCTGAAAGTTTTCAGAAATTCAATAACGTGACCGCATTTAGATATAAAGTCACAAAGTAGAGTATTATGCCACAATTGCAAGAAATAAAGTTACAATTGTGGGATATAAAATGACTTTATGTGAAACTGAGACATATTCGGTCATAACAGAAAACATTTGCATATTGTGAGATAAGTCATAGCCAGTGTTGAGAAGGTTACTTTGGAAAAGTAACAGGTTACAGATTACAAGTTACCCTATTTTAAATGTAATAAGCAGTGTAACTATTTCAATTACTTTATAGTAATGTAACATTACATTTGATTACTTTTCTACATTTCTAAAGCTTTCAACTGTTAATCATTTTCAAACATGGCAGGGTTAATCTTACAGTAGTACTCAACACTGATTACTGTCAGACTTTCAAAATCCTTCTTCACTTGAATTAAGATTATAATAATTTAATTTAAAGCACAGCCACCACAAAATCAGACTTACTTTGAGATAATTCTGAGGTTAAATACAGATTTAAAATCATAACAAGAAATAGTTTAATAGCTATGAAATGGTTTTTGAAATCAAATCTTTGCATAGCTGTGATAGGAAACACTTGTATCTAACAATGCCTTGGAATAAACAGTTAATCATAAAAAATGAGCATGTGTTCTATTCGGTGTCCTAAACTCCTGAAACATTGGACTGCTCATTTTAAAGCAGTCAATGGAATTTATGAAAAAAAATCAATTAAATCTGTATGTGGGTGTATGTGTGGAAAATATTTCAGATGTAACCCCCGTTGTAATCGTTAACATTTCCTTAAGTAACTAATTTAATTACACATATTTTTAATCTCTGTAGCTGTAACTGATTAATTACATTTATTTTGTAATTAAATTACATAATTCCATTACATGTAACTAGTTACTCCCCAACACTGGACGTAGCAAATGTGAGATGTCCAATCATAGTCTTAATTACTTCTTTACTTATTTCAGTCCCAAAAAAATTATATAAGGTATTTAATTCACTCGATTATAAAAGTAGTATGGCTTACTTCATGGTTCCTACAAAAAAAAATATACTAACTATATTTGGATAAGTCCATTTTATGTGTTACTGTACAGAATGTGCTGGGCTAGGAAAAGGTAAGAAAACAATAAAATGGGTTTTGAGTCTGGAAAACATTAAAAAGACATTGGTTTGACAACTTATGCACAATAAAAATGATGCAGAACTTGCCTTTCTGTATGAGTCTTCTATTGTGGGGTCATACTTTTCCACAAAGATCCCTTGGACAAACTGAACAGTCTGGAGAGCGAGAGAGAAGGAAGAAATAGAGGGAAAGACAAAGAGAAAAAGACATGTCCATTAAATGTTACGATACTCAAACACGAACATGTTGACACAGTGCAAAATGACTTTCACTTCCAGTGGCTGACGGGGAATTCCATTTTATAGACTCCAAGACTTAGAGATTTTTGCATCCGCTTATGGCACAAACAAGCCACTGCGTGCCATTATCGCTCTCCTTGCTCTGAAAACCACATAGGTGCTCAAATGAAAAGGCCAATGGCCACTTCACATAGAAAAAGACCAGAGTGAAACCTGCACTCGCTGGTCAAGGATCAGAAAGCATTTCGATGTTGCCGGGATACCAGTTACCTAGCAATTAACTACCGCTGTAAATATAAAAAGATTTATAGATGGAATTAAATTGCAGGAGGTTGAACAACAATCGTGTTGAAACAAAAGACCGAATTAAAGGCGAACGGCTCTGCAGTGACTTCACAGGAAGTGCAGGGGTGGCGGAGAATATGAAAATCATGTGATGCTGCCCACAGGTGCGGGGGCTTCAGGGCCTCCATAGCTCGGGTGACCTTTGATCATCCTTTTTGATTCGCACTTCACCAGCCTAGATCCATTAATGAGAGCTCTGTTTGGACAGGCATAAACAACAGAAAACCATTAAGATGCTGATCAACTGTGGGAGGAAGACAACAGCCTGATGGGAGGGAGAGGAAGAGACTGATAGGGAGAAAGAAACTGAGCAAAGGCAGGTGATGTCAGCCACGAGGTACGAGTGATCTCATTGCATGAGCGCTCGTCACATACAGCAGGCTTTGTCCTGGTGAACGAGAGATCATCGGTTTACCTAATGCCTTAGTGTGAATAAAAAGAATCAAGCTAAATAAACAAGAGCCTTGATGAGTGAAGAAATAATCATGAATTTAGATTAGTGCCTGTGTGCTGTGAAATTACAGGCAGCTAACGCTGTCTTTCGTAAAAAATTAGTTGAGATGAGACTAGTTAATAGAAAAGCATTATAAATATAAAAAAAGCTGACAACTGTCCTTATGATGAAAATACAACTAAACTATGTAGTAGTTACACTTTTTATTACCATTTCTTACTAAAACAATGGTTTCAGTGCTTAATTAATATTTGAAAAAACATTTGAGAAAACATTTCACTAAACATGAAATTAAATCATACAGATCCCTGAATGGCCTCAATATGTCAACAAGTCTCTTAAAAACTTTTTTTAAACAAGGAAATTATAGTTACGGTTTTAAAATATCATGTGGTATGTCAATGAACGATTGAATGAATGTAAAAAGTAGACATAAAAATTAAAAATATTTTTCACATTTTAAAAAGTAGTGAAAACAGGAAATGGTAACAATTTTCATTAGAGTGCATGCATGTCTCAGTAGTGAATGTCAGAGAGAGATGTCTGCAAGTGGAAACACACCATGTCCTCTTTACTTAAATGTTTTTTGCAAACCGAGGATTCAATATGAGAATTCCAGTGGCAGTTATTATGATATCTCTGCATATGCAGTGAACCATCTTCTGCTATTCCCGTTGTCTTCCTCACACTTCATCAGCCCTATGCATCTCAAGGCTGTCGCTGGGCCGCATTGTGCATGTGTGCCTGTTGGAAGTCAGCGCTGAGGACGCCCGGGGTTTGTGAGCGGCCCTGGAGAGGTGATGTGTGTCGATGCAGCAGAGTTCAACTGATGTGCTTGAGACAGACCATACCATGTGCACGAGTGTCAGCTGGCACATATGCTCTGAACGTCTTTTATCCTGCAGCTGTGTTCCTTATTCTCTCTGGCTGGTTTACACTAGTGCCTCTCTAATGCACACACACACACTTTCTGGCACAGTTCCTTACAGTAGCTCTGAACTACGACCTACTCCACCCACACACACACACACACACACACACACACACACACACACACACACACACACACACACACACACACACACACACAGGCACAGTTCCTTACAGTAGCTCTGAACTACGCCCTACTCCACCCACACACACACACACACACACACACAGACACACAGACACACAGACACACAGACACACAGACACACAGACACACACAGAAAGAAGGCTAAAAATAATCCATATATGGGAAGAGAGATGTGGAAACAAGGCATGTAAATTCAATGGAGGCCACTGATTACAATGTTCCAACAAAGAGCAGTGAGGATGTGTGAAGGAGAGAAGTGTGTCTGTGTGTGTGCGCGTGTACATTACTCTGCTCTCAGCGATTAGATCAAATGCACACAGGCACGCTCAGCATGCTGATATCCCAGCAGCCACTTCAAGTGAAAGCAACAAATATTGTGGAGATGATGGGTATCAAAGGATTAGTAAAGGTCATGCTTATATTAAAAAAAGCTCTTCTGTTACAATTAATAAACAGAAAGGGTTTGTTATTGCATTACACTATTCATTTGGGTATTGCCGTTAAGTCCTTGAAAAAGTACAGGACATTTTATTATACAGGGTAGCTATATATACACATTAATATATATTTATATGTATGTGTAAATACTCATACATAGCATGTAAGAAAAATAATATGTTTGATACTATAGTGACTGCATTTTGTTGAATAATTATTATTAAACTAATTATTATTATTACAAAGAAAACAATCCTTTTACACGGTCATTGTCCAAGGAAATTATTACAAATATTACCTGGGAATATTTACTGTGTCTTAAATTACTTTCTAGTCACTGTTAGACTAATTTTAGATATATAAACATAACATTAAGGACACTTTCAATTGAATTCAGATCTATTTGTAAAACCAACAAAAAAAAAAATGTGTTGCTAAAAATAATTGTTAAATACACTACCATCCAGTAAGATTTTGTTGCTGTTTTTTTTGTATTTTCTTTCACTCATTTATTTGATCAAAAACAAAGTAAAAACAGACATATTGTGAAATACTATTAAAATTTAAAACAACTCTTTTCTATTTTAATATATTTTAAAATGGAATTAATTCCTGTGATGTCAAAACTGAATTTTCAGCATCATTACTCCAGTCTTCAGTGATGCATGATCCTTCAGAAATCATTCTAATATGCTGATTTGTTGCTCAATTTATTCTCATCAATGTTAAAAACATACTTTTATAGAAACCTTAGTCCTTTTTTAGGATTATGATTATCAGAAAGTTCAAAAGAACTATTTTGCACCATTACATGTCTTTACTATCATTTTTGACCAACTTAATGCATCCTTGATGGAAAAAGGTTTTTAAAAAAATCTTACTAATCTCAAACTTTTGAATGTTATTGTACCTTAAGTTGGCACGTTAACTCTAATAGCCCAGAAAAATTATTTTGTAAAATATTTTTCTTTTCTCTCAAATGATCCACGGACCGCCTAGCACCCGCTTGCGGCTCCCTGAACTCCGTTTGAAAACCGTGTCTGAGATTCGAGAGCTCTGGTGGGAGGTGAAAGGTGGCTTTTTTGTTTTTAGGCTATCGATGAGGATACAACACATTAGCATGTGCGGTCTCACTCAGGCACACAGAAGTCAGCAGCACCATGGGCATCTGAGTGGATCCGCTCCTGCCTGCAGGCAGATGGGCTCTCTGTGTTAGCTCTGGCAATCCCTCATTACAGCTCAAGCTGACCCTGTTGCTCCTGTCCGACTCTCTGCACTCCCCCGGACTAATGCAACTCATCTGACAGATAAACTAACAGTGTGTTGCCTGGTGATGCGACAGTTCCACAAAACAGACAGATCGAGTCAATGTTTGAGAACAGCCCAACTCGTTTTTATTTTAATTGCTGTAGTCAAGGGTGCAGTACAAGCATGAACACACAAACTCATGAGTAACCTCTGAACTAGACCAGAGAAATCAAAGTCCATGGTGAATCCATGCTATTGGGCCATATGTCAACCCTGCTACTTACAATATAGCTACTAACAACTGACCACAGTGTGGTTTCTTCCTGTAACTGTGTAAATTGAGCCATACGCACAAGTGCTGAGCTAAATCACACTAATGGCTGCATATTTCCATTTGCAGAACTGTTCAAGAGTGCACAAGTCAGCAAAGTATTGTTCTGGAAGTAAATGTCACATTTAAATCTTTATTGTTATATTCATTTGAAATTCAAAAGTTAGTTTAAAATGCAAGTGTCAAGTTCTTAAAAAAATATTCTTTCTATTTCAGTTCATATGTTAGTTCGTATACTATACCATTTAAATGTTTAATTAACACTTATTTAGGAAGCATGCATTAAATTGATCAAAGGTGAAGATATTTGTAATGGTCCAAAAGATTTCCATTTCAAATAAATGATATTCTTTTGAACTTTATATTAATCAAGCAATTCTGAAAATAAAATGTATCAAAGTTTCCACAAAAATATTAAGCAGCACAACTGTTTTCAAAATTGATAAAAATATAATAATTCTTGAGCAAAAAAATCGGCATATTAGAATGATTCCTGAAGGATCATGTAACATTGATGACTGGAGTAATGACTGCTGAAAATTTACCTTTCCATCACAGGAATAAATACATTTTTTAAATTTATTAAAACAGAAAGCAGTTATTTTAAACTGTAGTAATATTTCACAGCATTGCTGTTTTTACTTTTAAATAATAAAACTTTTTTACTATTTCTAATAAAAAAATTTACATAAGTCGTTCACGTATTTATAATTTTTTACTAAGGAATGTAATTTGAAAAAAACAATAATAACAAAAAAAACTAAAAATAAAGACAAAAGATGTATTCAAGTCATTAAATGTATAATTGCATAATTTATTTCTGAATAAATTAATAGAAAAAATATAGGCCCTAAAATATAGGCCTTTCATTTCTGGGACACTGGTGTCACCAGACAGAATTCATACAAGTTTCCTAAACACGTCCACATTTGCCATTGGTTGGCCCAACAGGAAGTCCCACCTCAAATTCACAGCATTGGTTGAGCCAGTGTTGCCGTGTACATCTGGTCAAACAAACTTAAGCAAATGTTTTGCTATATTGTTTTGATGTAATGCCAGTGCATACAACACAACAGTGTTCATTCCAGAAAAAAAAAAAAACTTTAAAGAGACAAACTGATTTGAACACTTAAGGCACCGTTATTTACAAGACAATTAGTTCATTCATTGCTGTAAGTCCTGTATTTGTCTTTTCGGCAGATTTGCTGGGCTACTTATAAAGTGGGTAGCCATTGTTACAGTCTATACAGTTCCATTACAGGGCACCAGGTTGACCCCACACAGTAATGATCTGATTTTACAGACCTGTCTCATTCCCCGTCTGCACGAAGCAGGACAGGAGCTTAATGTGAATGCATTTACAACATGATTAACTCTGCGTGGCCATTTCATCTAGACCCATCCATAGTGCTCCAATTAGAGTTAATGGACAATAAAAGTCTATGTGCTTTACGCTGAAAGAGGTCTTCGCTAAGAGGGAAGAGGATGGAGGCGGACTGTTCTCACACTCGGTGGCACACATACAGCCAATGGGTTCTTTGTTGAGCCCTGAGGTGAGTGGGTCGGGCCATTGTGGATGCTCTCCAATGAGTGAGCCATTTGAGTTCATTGGGATGGAACAAACTAGGTCAAAGTGGTTTCAGCGGGACGTATGGTATTACATGCGGAGTACTAGCGTGCTAATGAGCTAAGGAAGCAAACAGTGACCTCAGTGATAAGAGATAATTCATGAGGAAACTGCTCTGTTTTTAAACTCCAGGGTAAATGTGGAAATTTAAAGCTAATGGCATGCAGCAGAAATTTTCCACAGGGTTTTGTCGTTCTGACCCACTGAATTTTAGAAGAGCTGCCGAACTACGTGTGGTTTCGCAATGCTATTCTGACATATATTATGCTGACTGAATAGCAAATGCCAACACACTGAGGCACAGTCATTTCACTGTATCTGTGACTCAGCTATGTGATGTTTGAGTGGTTCAGAAAGCGCACTGCAACCGACCACAGGCCAGTTTGCTTCTCACAACCTTTATCGACCTGATTGGGGACAGATGTTCTCCAGAGATGCTACATGGCTGGACGGAGCAGCGCAGAAACTCTTTCAGATGGGGAAACCAGTTTCTCTACAGTGAGACAATGTATGTTTTTCCCCTGAAATAGGATGTAATTTGTTATACATGTTGAGGGGGATTCCTAAAATGAACTTGGCATAAAGGGCAAGACAAATTCATAATGTTTAAAGGGATGTACGGGTCGTTCTCATGTCTTTCTTTCTGTAGAATACAAAGGCAGATATTTTGGAGAATGTTTTAATTGTTACAATAAAAGTAAATAGGGTCCAAAACAACGGTGGACCCCAATGAATTCCAGTGTGAGGGGGAAAAAAACACCAAGACATTATTTCTATGAACTTTACCAAGTTTTTATGTTTGGAATGATCACAGAATTGTCAGGTGAATTATTCTTTAAATGTCGAAACCTAGATTTTCGTTACACTATTATCTTGACTAAAATACTTTGCGTTAAAATGAACTTTATGTGGTACTCTCATGAACATGCGTCAAAGTCTGGCACGGAAGAGAAGAAATTGCTGAAAAAAGTTGTTGTTTTTTTCTTTGCGCACAAACAGTATTCTCGTATCTTCATAAAATTAAGGTTTAACCACTGATGTCACATGGACTATTTTAATGATGCCCTTACTATCTTTTTGGGCTTTGAACGTCTCAGTTGCATTGCTGTCTTATGCAGGGTCAAAAAGCTCTCGGATTTCATCAAAAATATCTTAATTTGTGTTCTGAAGATGAACGAAGGTCTTACAGGTTTGGAATGACATGAAGGTGAGTAATTAATGACAGAATTTTCATTTTTGGGTGAACTATCCCTTTAATAGTGTGACACCCCTAGACGGAATCACTTGAATTTGAGATGCTTGTTGCTGAATTGGCATCGCTTGTCCATCACAAGGAAAAACCTCAGCAAGCACCACTTATAATATTTGTGGTCTAGAACTAGACTGTAAGATGCTTCCGAAAGATAAACAAACATGAAAATAGTTGTTTATGTAGAAAAGCAAATGGCATGAAAAAGAGATAAAGGAAGGAGGCAGGGATGTTTGGTAGCCACTTACCAGCGCAGACTTGCCGACACCTCCTGATCCGAGGACTACTAACTTGTATTCACGCATTGTGCAGTGTGTCCGTTAACTACCTGTAGAAGAAACAAGAGAAAAAAAGAAGGTAAGCCTCCAGAATTTCATACAAGTAGCTTAGCTACTCAAAGAAAAATCAATACTGTTTTATTCAGTTGATTTTCTATTCAATTTTGAAAACAAAGTTCATGAAAAGTACACCGTAGCACTTCCATGCATAACCTGAAGCTGAGAGCCGCAGTCAATCAAGCAACAAAAAGGATTTAGACCTGTGGTCGGCCCTCAAGTTCAGAGCTATCAGAAGGCCGTCAGCGTGAAATTGCTATAAAGCGGAGTATCTAATCTGAACTACACCCGCAAGACTCCTGCCCACTCATTAATTGGAATGTAAAGTTTCCTTTGACGTCACAATTATGTTTCAACTTCAGCTTTTGCACCTCAAAAAGATCATCAATCAGCTGACACGTAAGAGTGCGTAGCCCACGAAGGTGTTTGAGGTCGTGTAGCTGTGCACTCATGCCATTTCCTTCTTTGCAGGAAGAGAGTGGAACAAGAGCTGTGTGGTGGGGTTGACAGAGATCTCAGATAAATGACAAACATCATGTGCGCGCGCACACACACACACACACACACACACACACACACACACACACACAGATGTGAACTGCTCCACACCCTGTCTCTTGGGTCTTTCGGTCTCTCTCACTCCTCATGTAACACTTAGAGTAATAAAATTACTTACAGACAGACACAATATATGAATGTGTAGTGGCATTGGTCAGAAAAGCACTTTATGTGCATAAAAAGTTATGAATGCATGGTCCATGCACTGCAAGTGTACTTTGCAAAAACTTTGTGAACTCATACTGTTGGGGCGGTAACAAACCAAACTAAGCCACCAAATTCATTTGGTTGATTCCCCCAAAGCATAAACACATGCACTATCAAAACATTGTTTGTTTGTTTGAAATTCCTGACCTGCCAGACATAGCAACAACCAATGGCATCGCTTTGGGGCGGAGTTATCTGTGTGACCAACCAATGACAGACTGTTTTGAAAATGTTTGTTTGTTTTTTTTGCAATTTTGTTTGGTGATGCTAGTGGTGCAACACACACTTCAGCTTTAAACCAGATGTGCTATTATTCGCATAGCTAGCAATTAACCAGATTATAACTAGTTTGAACTAGTTTGCCTCATGAGAATCTCTTCAAAGTATTTTTGATCTGAAAGAAAAAAAAACTGACTTAAGAAGACAGTTTATGAAAACATTCACTATAGTGCCACTTGTGGCAACCTTGAGTAAGCAACATATTGTGTACTTTCATTACATTAAGTCCAAGTACATCAACTTAGTCCGAGTCAGACACATTTCGGAACCCAACAGTGCACAACATTGAGTCTGTGTTTTCGGGTTCACCTGACTCTTTAGGTTTTTAGGGGGTGTTCACATAAGACCCATGCACCCAAAAATAGTTAACTGATCAGAAACAAAAAGCAGAGGTCATGGGACACATTTATAAAACATTGTGAAATATATATGTATATACATACATACATACATATATATTATTTGTATTATTTAAAAAAAATGACCTAGGTTAACTTCAGTTGTCGGATGACTGGTCAACCATCAAGATTTAGTTTACATACTTGAGTCATAAATGTGTTAAAAAATACAAACTTCTGTCCGAAATATATATGTATATACATACATACATACATATATATTATTTGTATTATTTAAAAAAAAATGACCTAGGTTAACTTCAGTTGTCGGATGACTGGTCAACCATCAAGATTTAGTTTACATACTTGAGTCATAAATGTGTTAAAAAATACAAACTTCTGTCCCTTTCATTTTCCTCATTCCACCCAGGTTTTAGACCACAGAGCAATGAGTTTACAGGGGAAAACAGGAGGCCCATATCAGATCCAACACCTTGGGTTTTAGTGGGCATGGCGGCTGAATCTGGAGCCAGGCTGACTGTGAGACCACGCTCCGATAGAAGAGATTACCACTTACTCACATCTAATGCAATAGACACAAGGGTATCTGAGACTAAGAACTGCCCCAGCCCACTACTGCACTCCCTCTCAGCAACAGATCAGTGCCAGCAGCTCCGTGCTGAAGAACAAATCCTCCGCTGTCATCGAACGCTCTGCTTTCCATTTACATTGGCAAAGTACAGAGGGAATGGGAGACGGAGCAGGAGGGAGAGAAGAAATGTGGGGGAAACATCAAATTAGTGAGAAATGTGAGGGTGACAGAATAAGACCCTGTGTCAAATGGGAATACGGCATATAAATGGAAAACATCTTTTAAACGGACATATCAGAGTACAATGTGTCAGTCGAGAGTGTATTAAGGGCAGATGTGCGAAAGCAAATATAAAGGTGAATGTAACCTCTGAAGACCTAATCCTACTTCACATATGGTCTTTATACACTATTAGTGACTCCCACAGTTGGTAGCCGAAATAAAACCAACAAAGCCTTGAAGTAGCAAAAAAAACAGCGGTTGTTTGGGTCAAATTGACTGCATCTATATACATCTTAACAATAGACTGAATTAGTCTATTTGGAACAGAAATGCACATTTTGTCAGGGAAAAGTCCATTTAGATCTTCACATATGCATTCCACATATGCTTTTGGTTATCAATGAAGCCCTCAGGCACCAGGGATTTACAGGCTTACATCACAGAAGCAGGGGAATCTTGGTTTGTGGGAAGAAGACATTGCTGTGAAATGATCTTTATTGCAGCATTCAAGGCCATTCTGAATTGGTACTAGGTGTGAGGGATTGAATGTGTGTGTGTGTGCGCGCGCATATGTCTGCAGAAGTATCAAATTTCATTATAAACCCACAAAATTTTATTTAACACAAGAAGACCCAAGATAGTTTTCTTGCAGCTGCGAATCTTCAATATCCAAGAAATTTGAAGAATAAATGATCATTAAGTGTGAGTCTATAAAATGTTTGGCCCCTTTTAACATCTGCCAGGGGATAAAAAATGCTTCACACTCCAGTAGGTGGTGGTAATCTGGCCATTTTAATAGCGGTTAGCAGTAAAGTACATTTCTGCTACCTGCTGGACTGGAGGAAATTTTTGGTCACGTATCGTTTTCAATGTGACATCAGTGGTTCAACCATAATTATATGAAGCTACGTGAATATTTTGTGCGCAAAGAAAACAAAAATAACGACTTCATTCAACAATTTCTTCTCTTCCTTGTCTGTCTTCGACACATGTTCACAAGAGTACCACAAAGCATGAAATTACGGTTGAACCACTAATGTCACATGGACTATTTTAATGAAGTCCGTACTACCTTTCAGGGCCTTGAACGTGTTAGTTGCGTTGCGGTCTATGGGAGGGTCAGAAAGCTCTCGAATTTCATCAAAAATATCTTAATTTGTGTTCTGAAGATGAACGAAGGTCTTACAGGTTTGGAACGACATGAGGGTGAGTAATTAATGACGGAACGACATGAGGGTCAGTAATTAATGACAGAATTTTAATTTTAAATATCCCTTTAAATTATTTTCTTTTGTGTTCAATAGAGGAAGATGTGTCTTACGAGTTTGGAACAACATAAAGGAGGGTAAAGCCCTTTCCGCACCAAAGACAACAACTATATGATGTGTATTAATGAAAACTATAACTAGTTTAAAAAAAAAAGTTTTAATAATATGAGAATAGAGAAGTCCACACCACAACTATAACAATAATGAAACAGAGGAACGATATTAATGGAATCACCTTCAGAACAACATTTTGATAAAAGCATTGACAGTCAATCAGAATCATCCTAAGACTGAGAATAAACAATGTTATCATCCATTTGTGTGAACACTGATATACAGCTTGAGTCATAAACTGCAATACATTACTCAGGAAACAGTGGTAATGCCATATCTCAGACACAAACATTGTGGGCTGGGCTGCTGAGGCCTGTGGTCGGTGTCACAATGACTATGGGAGTATGGGGTGTGTAGATGAGCAGTTTTCGATGGTCATATTTAAGCAAGAGTGCGGTGCACATGAAAGGGTGGATTATGACAGGAAATGTACTTGATTTCTCAAACCGTCCTTCTTTGACACACCACGCCTCTTCTGGGCTATAAAGTCAAGTGATGACAAGCTCAGCTCAAAATATCTCTAAGACTCGGAGGGAGACACAGGTTTGAAACAAATGATTGACTTCAATCTTCTGTATGTGTGACTAAGCGGAAGACATGCGACGTGACCCAAACTCTCCCTGACCTCTGACCCCCCCAAATCAAATACGTTTCAGTCAGAAAGCCTTGAAGTAATCCTAATTCGGTTTTAAAGGGATTCTCCACAAGATTTGAGAGTTTTTTAAGCACGTCTGCTCTACACCTTGTTGAGAAATTAACAGGCACATTGCACTGCACAAGCCATCGCGCCTGTGAAGTGATCTCTCTCCTACAAAGCTTCCCTTCTAGTAATTAAGCAAGCAAGATCCCATGACGCCGTGTAAGAGGATTTTCGCAGTGATCAAGAATCCAAAACACAGTGAGCAGACGCTTTGGATCTTCCTCTCAAGGATGACTAAGGTCTGGACTCTGGGCATTCAGCATGCTAATGACCTAGAAAAACTTTTGACAACAAATAGAAGAAAATACTCTTTTGGTGACAACTTAAAAAGGAAAAAGTTCTTAAAAAGGACTTTATTCATGTCTAACATGCTAAAGTTTTTTTTTTTTTATGTTAGGATTACAATATTAACTAAAGAACAATAGGAGGCCTTTAGGCTAGGTAAACAAGTGTATATACGTACATGTAAGCGTCTGTAAGTGTGAGGAAGTTCAAAGCCATATGCAAATGTGTTTACCCGTGTGGTTTGACAGCGTTTCTCTGTTTTATGTTTACGCCCCGAGTTAAGTGTGCTTAAGCTGAGACCTGGTTTTATGACAAACAAAGTTTAAAATCGTCATTTAGGGTACTCACCCAAATGTCATTCAAAATCCATAATCATTCATCGTGGAGACACAAATATTTGTAATGTAACCTAAGAATTTTCTCTCCCTCC